CCAAAAAACAACAACAACAACAACAAACAAATAAACAAACCACCCAACAACAACACACACACATAGAACTTTATTAACCCTAACAATAATAATGGAAATATATTGACCGGCGTCTGGTCTTTCTGCTAGGATGTTGTATCCCTCTCAGTAGTCTCAGCCTGGCTTAGCTCTGACAGGCAGGGTCAGAAGCCTGCTTTCTAAACGATCCAAGTTGTTTCGACGGGGACACTTACATTTAGAAAGTTGTTTTGAAAAAAGGCATATTTATGCGTCATTGATTATCAAAATATTCAGAAAAGGTTCTTTGTAAATCTTTTATTCCATTTCAGACTTCGTTTTCGGCAAAAGGTGAATGCAAGGGGTTATAATATGTAAATGTAAAGAAAACAGAAAGCATGACAAAAAACAAACAAAAACGAAAACAAAACAAGACTAAAAGCAACCCTGTCAATGCTGACATCTTTCCCTCAAAGGAAATGGTGAGGCAAAAGAGACAGATGTAGACTAAGAACAAATTAACCAAACTTGTAGTATAAGATCATTCTAACGTCCAGCTTTTTTTGCGCTTTTCTCGAAACGACCTGAAGGTGACTTACACCCTCTATTGTTCGGACCCCCGTCCGTGTTTATTTTTCCTGTGCTGGAGTCGGAGAAGGACAAAGAAAACCGCATAATTTTACCCGAAACGACCCCAAGGTGACTTTGACCTTTTGTTTTTCGGATCCACTAAATAAAACTTTGGATTTTTCCCCTGCCCAGGAGTGGGAGAAGGACAAAGAAAACCGGGGCGCCACTCACAGCTACGTCTGGAACAAGACTCAGTTTGACCAGCTGGACTTGGACAACACGGACTATCTGCTTGGTAAAGGGCGGTTGGTGGGTGTTTTCTTGTGCTCTGCCCCTTGTACTTCTTTCCCTGAACTGTCTCTCGATAGCATTTTCGCTCTAGAGCTGTCTCTTTATTAATTCACTTGGCTGTCTCTTTGTTGATTCACTCCGCTACCCTAGAATTACAAAGTTCTACGAGTATCCGCTCAGTACCTAGTTTTGAGAAATGCGACGTTAAGAAATTTGAGTTTCACAACATCAAGCCTCTTTTGAATGCAATTCTTTGTACTGCTTGATAATGACTCCAAATGATCTTACGATTTTGATAGAACAGATAGAACATTCGGTCTCTGACCTCATGGTCTTAATAACCCCAAACTTCCCAAAATGTCGGATAAAACTTTGTAATTCTGACTTAACGAGGTGTCTACTAATTGTCTGAGAGTAACACTTTTCTCTTCGACAAAGGTTTATTAGTGCTCCTTCTCACCTCGGATGTTTATCCATTGCTGCAGTTCCTTTTTTGGTGTTTTTCGATGTTTGAGGCTTTTCAATCTGTGGGGGTGTTGACTCCTGTTATTCGCCTTCTAACGTTTTTCTCCTTCCTTTTCCCCCCCTTCCCTTTTCTAATCGTTTCGTCTTCCTCTTCTTACGTTTTTCCCTTGCTGTTATTTTATGTTTTTCCCACTTCTGATGTTTTTGTACATTTTATGTTTTATGTTCTTTCCTACTTCTGATGTTTTTGTACATTTTATGTTTTATGTTCTTTCCTACTTCTGATGTTTTTGTACATTTTATGTTTTATGTTCTTTCCTACTTCTGATGTTTTTGTACATTTTATGTTTTATGTTCTTTCCCACTTCTGATGTTTTTCTTCTTCTGATGTTTTGGTTTTCCACTTCTGATATTTTTCGAATTCTGTTGTCTTTTGTTTTTTTCCCCCACTTTTGAAGCTTAATTTCCAGTTCTGTTGTTTCACATTTTGTCCGTTTCTGATGTTTTTTCCCTCTTTTTATGTCTTACGACTTTCTCATTTTTAATGTATTCCCACTTCATGTGTTTTATTTTTTTCTCGTACTGTTGATGCTTTTTCACAGTTGATGTTTTATTTTTCACTTCCTATGTTTGTATTTCAAACGTTTACCCTACATACTGATGTTTTTCCATTTCCAATATTTTCCTACTTCTTTACGATTTATATATTCTCCATAAGTCTGATGTTTGTGGGTGGTTAGCGGTTGCTCTGGTATGGTTTTGGCCCCTTCTTCCCTATTAAACATCTATTGTCCTTATCTCCTCCTTTTTGTGTTTTTTACTCTCTCGTAACACCTCTAATCTTCAGCACTTATATGACCTTATTGTGTTGCAAGTGGATATAAAACCACCCTCTCTTTTACACTAAACTAATGCTGATCCTGTTTTATCCCACAGGCTTGTTTAGCCCAAGTCATATGGACATTTTCGATGAGGAGACTGCCAACAACGAGACAGAGCTGTCACTGGCAGATATGACGGAGGCCGCCCTAAAGGTGGGGCCCCACTCTATTCTAGGTGTCATTACCCGACTAGAGCAAGAAAAAAACAACATGACACACATACATACGCACACGCACATGCACGCTTACACACACCACACACCCACACATACGGACACCACACGCAAACTTACACGTAGACACACACTCACATACACGCACACATACACATGTGCGTACACATATACTCACAAACGTATTCTCATATATACACATAAC